TTTTTTTTTTTCAAAAACTCATTTTTAACTACACATTATTCCACACGTAAGTCTAAAACATTCATTATTTTTTAACTACTCATTATCCCAAAAATCACTATTCTAAAATACATTATCTTACAAAAATGTTCTCAAACGAATTGCTACTTGTAAAAGCAACTTTGTTGCAAGTTAAGTTTCGTGATTACTAATTTATTGTGTACCCTTGTTATGATAGTCTAGAATTAATTAATGTAAAAAATTTAAATTTTTAACGTATTCTATAAACTAATTGCAAGCATGAAACTTGTATCGAAATTATTAATTAAATGCTTTTGATTAGTTTAATTTTCAACCATAAAAATATTATGTTTGTCCATCTTTTATTGGTGGATAGATGTGAGAAGAAGGGTAGATTCATAGAGAGGGAATGAACTGCTTGGAAAATAAAAAATATTTATCTCTAAAGAAAGTGTTGTTCTTATTTTTGAGGAAATTATGGTCACGTGACCAAATTTTTAAAAATATTTGTCATGAAAAAAAATATCAATCAAATATTCCAAAAAATAGAAACTTAAGAGTGAAAAATGACATTTTTTTTATGGAAAATGAAACTAATCATACACATTTTTATGATAAATAATAAAAATGAATTCCTTATTAATCTTTGTCTCCATTTCATTTAAATAAATCCAATAGGACATTTGATATAAACCTTGTTTGTTATAATATACGATATCTTCTATATATTAAAAGTGGTTATGTAACGGAATTTCTTGTTTTTAACGGAAAAATTAACGGAATTTGTTGTTTTAACTGACTATGTAACGGAATTTCTTGTTTTAAGCAGGCAGTTGCACCTTCTTTAACGAATTGCTACTTGTAAAAGCAAATTTGTTGCGAGTTAAGTTTCGTGATTACTAATTTATTGTGTATCCTTGTTATGATAGTCTAGAGTTAATTAATGTAAAAAATTTAAATTTTTAATGTAATCTATAAATTAACTAATTGCAAGCATGAAACTTGTATCGAAATTATTAATTAAATGTGTTTGATTAGTTTAATTTTCAACCATAAAAATATTATGTTTGTCCATCTTTTATTGGTGAATAGATGTGAGAAGAAGGGTAGATTCATAGAGAGGGAATGAACTGCTTGGAAAATAAAAAATATTTATCTCTAAAGAAAGTGTTTTTCTTATTTTTGAGGAAATTATGGTCACGTGACCAAATTTTTAAAAATATTTGTCATGAAAAAAAAATATCAATCAAATATTCCAAAAAATAGAAACTTGAGAGTGAAAAATGACATTTTTTTTATGGAAAATGAAACTAATCATACACACATAAATAATAAAAATGAATTCCTTATTAATCTTTGTCTCCATTTCATTTAAATAAATCCAATAGGACATTTGATATAAAGCTTGTTTGGTATAATATATGATATACAAAATGAATACATAACTATTGTTAATATGTTAAAAATAATTTTTTTTCAAATGAATACAAATTATTAAAACTTGCCTTGTCATTTTATGCATTATTTTCGTTCTTAGTCATATTTGTTAAATTATTCTAAAACAAGGAAGTTGTTGTCAACCGTACTTGATTAATTTAGAAAATTGTATTTAAAATTTATAACTATACTCATTTTAACTAAACGAAATTCTATATAAATAAAAATTGTTAAAATAAAAATAAATAACAGAAATAGTCACATAAGCGTGAGATTTATTATAGTATTCATGTACTTAAATAAATCAAGTATTTTCCTTTTAAATTAAATAAACTTCAAACCGTTAAGCCAAATTTAATATTAATTAACCAATGGATCCATTCTTAAGTCAAATGTATGAATCCCAATGCAACATTATGATTTGTCAAATGATTTTTATGATAATTAAAAATTAAAACTGTCGATTTATTAATTGACAAAGACCAGAAACCAAATCTATGTACATGCACCCTAGACTAGACCTACCTTCCTTTGAACACACAACCTGAAAATATGAATTAATGCCTTGAGAAATACAACATTTGTCAGCAGAACGTGGCTTGTAGGTTTACATTAATTTGAAGGCGTTTAATATTTTAATTTGGGTGCATGAATGTTATCGCATTAATGGCTTTCATTTTTAAAGTTTTGTTCTCTGCAAATTTCTCTGATGCAAAATAATTACTTTCTTTTACTGAAGATAGCAGCATGGTTAAGAAAAAAAAACTATGGAGGGCTGACTGATGCAGATGCTCCTTAATTTGTTACCCAGTTCCCTTTAAGAGTTGAGTATTTAACTTTCTTTATTATTTGTAAATGCTGATGACGCAGGGAAGATGGGAGGTTATATCAGATTGACGAAATTAGTCTAGATATGGTGAACTAAAAAAAATTCATTAATCTGGTGAACTCTACACGATCACATTATGATGATTCATTATATAATAAATTAATGAAACGAGTGAAAAAAATACCGTTGTTAATAGCCTCGCTGTGATTGTACTTCAATTACCAAACAATGTTCTTAACTAGTCGAAATTCATTCAAGGTGGCTTTAAATGCATTAATTAATTAAAATAATAGCCTATTATTGATAATGTCAATCATACAACTATTTTGTGTGTACTACCTAAGTTGTTAGGTATGTCCAGTAGAGGCTGTATTCATTCAGTATTTACTAGGTAAATTTAATTCGATAGCTTCATTCGTGTATATTTATCTATTAAAGAGTGTATAATTACTAGGAGAATGAACGTATTAACATGTTAAGTGAAAAATCCTTCATCGAATAAAGATGAAAATATAGACCAATTTATAAGTGTTTGGATTACTCATTTTAATAAAGTTGACATTTTAAGATGAAACCTCAAATTTAACATGGTATCAGAGCCCGTTAAGCTCCAACGAATAATTCGATCTGGTTGACTCAACAAAATTGAACGCACAAATTTCAAGAATGATCTGTTCAAACAAGCCACCATCTTGCAAAGGCATATTAAGGGATAAAATCACACATCTAATAAAGATGAAAACATAGACCGATTTATAAGAGTTTGGATTACTCCTCTTAATAAAGTTGACATTTTAAGATAAAACCTCAAATTTAACATAACAAAAGTTATCTGAAAGAGAGTCACACGATCAAATTCCTTTTCAATATGCTAGCTCTCATTCATAGTTTTGCTAACAACTTACATTACTGGATAATCAAAATCAAGTAGCAATGGTATTGTATTCCAATGATTATTTGTATGACATTTTATCTTATGTTACTCATTAGACCATCGATTTACGTGTTTACAGTTATACTGTGGCCTAATAATCTAACTTTCAGCATCAAATCAAAAACCGACAATTTGTACAAGAGATCAGCTTGTTTTTATTACAAATCATATTCTTGAACAATCCTACTACATATACATCTTCGTTGATAAAAGTATAACAGATGATTATGTGACTTGTAGTTTGGCCATTAAATTCAAATCAATGGCCAAACTGTATGTCACCTCATCATCTGTCAATAAAGATATTATTGACAAATATCAAATAAAATAATGCTATCTGCAGTCACTCCCTACAGCAGTCGCTTTATATGGCACACACATATAAATTTACCATATTAATACATCAAATACACACTTGACATGTGTGTGCCATATAGAACGATTATGAACAGCATAGTCTCCTACCTTAACCCTCGAACTATGCCTACTAATCTGTGCATTTACTCTATTCACCTGGTCATTAATTATCATACAAAAGCACGTCATTAGTTAAAAAAAGTCAAAAGAAAGGGAAATAAATAAAATTTTGGGAGTCAACATAGTGAATGGTTGAAGTCGGCAGAGATTTGAATATTAAGTAAAACAAGCATCGATCCAACATCAACACACAACCAACTTCTGGGGAGAAAGTACTACGTTTTCAAATCAAGCATTAATAATTAGTTTCATGTTCTATTATGGAGTCTAATAAGTATATATATTATGATATTATCGATCCTTTTAACATTATAATACGGAAATGTTTAGGTTTCATACAAAATTACGTGGATTCATGTTACATGGACGTCTAATTAGTATCGTGCCACACAGTCCGTATATATTGTTAACGGTGATTTCCTTTGAATTTTGTTTTTCTACTCAATGCGTCGTCTCCATTTTCGCGGAATTATTCCTCTAAGCAAGACATATATAAGTAATCAAAGTTCAGCTCAGTCTAGGAAACAACCAACAAAAATTTGTACACTGATTTTTTACACCATTGCTGTCAACAGATATTTGGATGAAAATGCTGTTTTTTCAACTGTTCAATTGGATAATGTCACGTGGCAAAGTGTAAATAATGGTGTATACCATGATATACAGCAAGCATGATTGAAAACAAGAAATGATGACAATAATATGCTCAGTTGAGGGAGAATGCTTCTGGAATTGGTGCATTGACCTTTTAAGATGACTTTGTGTCGCCGTCCATTGCCTCACTCTAATGGCTTCTTTAATTATTAGAATTCATAAATATTATTAAAAAAAAAATACTACGTTGACATCCAAGAAGGGGATTTGAGAAATTTTCACTATATAAATAGCCTTGAGGAAACCTATTGAGCACCACATCAGTTTAAGTCATACTTAGTTTTTGTTCTTCGTTTTCTTTTACATTTCCATTAATGGCTATTCCAGTGATTGATTTCTCAAAGCTTGATAGTGAGGAGAGGGCCAAAACATTGGCTCAGATTGCCCACTGCTGTGAAGAATGGGGATTCTTTCAGGTAACTATTGATCAACTCTCCAAGGAATTCAGCCTTCTGCGAGGCTAAAAGCCGTCACAGAATGCTAAACACAACGAAGAGTTGAAATCTTTTTTAAAAAAAGAAAAGAAACACTTTTAAATGTGATTGTTAATCATTAAATTTATCGAAGATCTGTGATTTATTTTATTGTACATTTGGCATCTTGATATATGAAAATTTAATTTTTGTTTGACATTTTGCAGTTAGTGAATCATGGAATCGCAGAGGTGCTCCTGGAGAGGGTGAAGAAGGTGGCATCTGAATGCTACAAATTGGAAAGAGAGGAGAATTTCAAGAATTCAAAGCCCGTAAAGCTTCTAAATGAATTGGTGGAAAAGAAAAGTGTGGACAAATTGGAAAATTTGGATTGGGAGGATGTTTTCCTTCTCTCAGATGACAATGAAAATGAATGGCCAACTAAGACTCATGTATTCAAGTAAGCATAATTTGCATCAATTTATACCTTTCATTTTATATGATCGACCCCAAATTTACTGAACACCTTGTTGTTGTTCATTATATAACATTTAACATATATTGCCAGGGAAACCATGAAGGAATACCGAGCTGAACTGAAAAAACTAGCTGTTAAAGTCATGGAAGTAATGGATGAAAACTTGGGATTACCAAAAGGGTACATCAAGAAAGCCTTTGAAGGCGCAGGAGAAAATGAAACCGCCTTTTTCGGCACCAAGGTGAGCCATTATCCGCCATGTCCTCACCCCGAAAAGCTGACTGGCCTTCGGGCACACACTGACGCTGGTGGCGTCATCTTACTATTTCAAGATGATGAGGTTAAAGGGCTTCAAATTCTGAAAGATGGGGAGTGGATTGATGTCCAGCCTATGAAAAATTCT